ACAACCCAATAAACTGACAAACACGCGATTCGCAAGCACGATCATTCGTCCAATACGAATTTTTTAGGAAAAAATTTGCGACGGAAATCTACTTCTATATATATATATATATATATGTGTGTGTGTGTATGTGTATGAAGACGTGTGTGGCATGGGGTTCATGTTCAAAGAACGACGATAGATTTTCTTTTTCTTTGCTCAAAAGAGAGAAAATAGGTCCCCATTGTTCCAATCCTATTCGTTTTTCATTTGTTTTGTTTTTCTTTATCTCCCCACTTTCTACGAAAAGCTAATACCCCACACCACTTGTGTGTCCGTAGATTTTTCTTTCATTTTTTTTTATCCCTTGTTCGAGAGTACATGATCGTGATAGAGTTCAGGGTGTCGTACACTTCAGCAAAATCCGTTGCCAAAGAACAATGCACGTCAACAATCATAACGTCGTCGTAGTCGTCCTAGCGGAAATCTTGGACCAATCGCTGCAAATCGTGTGAAGAAGAGAGAGAGTGAGAGAGTGAGAACTAAATATTGTTGATTCAAACCGAGATATCATCGTAATTCAATTATTTGACGATTGAAGAAGGACGATCAAACGCAGTGTTATGCAATGATCGTTGATTTTTTTTTTTTTTTTTTATTTATTGAATATATTTGCAGTGGAATAATTTGTTAACTGTATGTGTTACTATTGTTAGTGTAATGTTACTATTTTTAATGAGTAGATTCTTATTTTGGGGATTTTTGGGGATTTTGTTCTGTTCATGCAACTTCGTTAAAACCCCTTATTAATTCACGTAGATAAAAATAATGTATTTTGTTATATTTCTCACCCTTTCTCTTCGATTTAAAAAGAGAAATGATGTTAAGTAGATTAAAGATCTATTAATAGTCTTATTTATTTCTAGTAACGATGATAACGGAAACTAACTCGATCGATAATGAACACGTTTTCATCCACGTTTCGCTGTTCGCGAGTGTACAAAAACAGTGACACACGATCCTAACCAAACCATTCGTTGAAATCTCTGGTATAAAGATGGCCATAACAGTATACAATTCTTAATTTATTTCGATAAGAAATAAATTGATTATTAATAAAAACAAAAACACCATTTCAATCCAATAACCAATTCTTATTGTATTATCTAAAAATTATTCTAAACATTTAACATTTTTTTTTTATTCTAATTATCAATACAAATAAAATAAAATACAAAACAAGAGAAAAGAAAATACAAAACTAAACTAAAAAATAAAAATAACTGAATCCCTATAAAATCTGATAGAACCCATAACAAAATTCCACAAAGTGATGAACAAAAAAGCAAGAATACGAGAACCCATGTACCCTCATTGGTATCCAAGGTAAAGACCGAAGATAGTTGAAGGATCCTAGAAGAAGATGAAGAAAAAGAAAACGAAAAAGAAGAAGAGGGTTATAAAGCAAGGTTGGTTGTATGAACGGACGATCGGTCGGTCGGTCGGTCTGTCTGTCTGTCTGTCGGTCTTGTGCAAGGGGGGTTAAAGCCACGAAATATCCGAAGAAAAACACGTTTTCCAGGGGCGAATCGATAGCAACAATACCGCGGTAAAAGCTCACAGAGAGAGAGAGGGGGGAGGGGGGAGGGTTCCTCAGGGTTGGCAAAGTAGTAGTAGTAGTACTAGTAGTATTAGTAAGAGTATAGTGAGAGGAGGGAGAGGAATAGAAGAGGAAAGTGCGGAATCCGGGTGCAGTGATGGGAAGAAGGGAAGGGGGATGAGAAGGAACGAGAAAAAGAGAAAGAAACAGAAAGAGAGAGAGAGAGAGAGTATTACCAGAGAGAAGAGAAGAGTAGAAATAGGAGGAAAGGGAGAAAAAGGATGTAAAGGGGTGAGAGAAGTGTGGAACGAGGGAGCCTTATTGGAATCGAGGGTTGGGGGTGGTATGAGTTTTCCTAAGGTCTAAGAGGGAGTACGTAGGAGAGGAGTATAAACGGGGGATGAAAGTGTAGTAAGAGGAAGAAACGAGAGAGATAGGTGGTGGTAGTGGTAAGGGTGGTGATGGTGATGGTGGTGGGTAAGAAGGGAAAAGGGGGTGCTGCTCTGCTTGATGGAACGAGGCCGAGCTACACAACGTTGGCAACAGCCAGATGGGTAAAGACTGTAGTACGTTGCCACACTACCTATCAGGGTGTAAGGGGGGGATGCCATGAAGAAGAAACGATACTGAAGTGGGGGCAGGTGAGTTTGCTTCTATCATCTTCTCTCTCTCTTTCTCTCTCTTTCTTATACCACTTTACCTACCCTCTCTATTCTCTACCTTTCTCTCTTGCTCGTTCATATATATATGTGTATATGTGTATGTAGGTGTATACTGTCTATCTCATTCGTTCTCTTTCTTTCTCTATTCTACTACCCTTGGGTTCTTCTTCTTCTTCTTCTTCTCTCGATCCTTTCACTCCACCTTCTCCTTTGTTAAAGGCAACACGATGATTCCGTCCCCTTTGTTCGCGATATTAAAGTACGTCAAGCGCCGAAGCGACGACGACGACTGCTGCTGCGTTTCTCTTCTCTTTCTCTTTCTCTTTCTCTTTCTCTTCTCTTCTCTTGTGAGGAGTAGTAGAAGTGTCAATTGCGTTCATTGTTCGTTCATTGAGCCATAGGGATCGATTCGTTTCGTCTCTCTCTCTTTTCTTTTTTTTTTCTTCATCCAACCTTTCTTTAGTTATTTATTTATTTATTTATTTAATTTTTTGTTCGCGAATGAACGAACGAACAAACACACTCGGGTGTTTCCGATTTTTATCAACCCTTTCTATCTCCTTTTATTTTTTTATTATTTTGTCCTATCCACTTTTTTAATTTGGTTAACACGTACCGTGCCACGTGTACCACCGGTGGTACACTTATTGTTAGATATATTTATTTTTATTTAATAAATATATGTTTATGACAAATTTAATTATGTAAACTAATTTTTAACATTGATGAAATTAGAAATTTGCAATAATAAACTTTCGAGCTCCTAATGTCAATTAATAATAATAATAAACAAATTTTATCTACAATACTAAAAGATATTTAGGTATTATATATACACAAATATTGTGTATGAAATATAAAACACATAAATTTGTTATAATATTTATATTTACAATAATTAATAATTAATAATGTTATTTTTAATTTTGTTAAAAAAAAAAGGTTAAATAATCTGAACTATAAGTCAGAAAAAAAGGTTTTGGCACGAAACGTGTTCAAAATCATGCATAATATATATAGATATACATATATACAATACCTTCTACTATTACTACTACAACTATTGATAATAAAGGGGCTCATGAGGTGAAAGAAAAAACTGCAAAAGGGTTGGTTTTCTTTTTCGAGCATTTCAAGTATTTTATGTATATTTTTTTTTCCATTTTCACGTATGTGTATTTGTTAAAGTATCTCTATGAGTCTCTCTCTCTGTGTATGTGTGCGTATATTAAATATAATATGTGTATATATATATACATGTTATATTTAATTAAATTTCATGAAGAATTATGGAAGTTATTATTATAATAATAATTCATAAAATATTTTTAACCATTGTCGCAAATAGTTATAAGAAAAATAAGAATAGTAATATATATATATATATATATATATATATATANCGACAATCTTTCGTACAATTCGCGTTTTTTTTTCGAATCTTAAAGATCTACTACGTGCTATTTGTTCATTTTTATTATTTTTTTTTTTTATTTATACATATATATATATATATATATATATATATATATAGAGAGAGAGAGAGAGAGATTTTTTTTTATTATTATCGACAATCTTTCGTACAATTCGCGTTTTTTTTTCGAATCTTAAAGATCTACTACGTGCTATTTGTTCATTTTTATTATTTTTTTTTTTTATTTATTTATTTATTTTTTTTTTTACAAGAATCTTTTTTTTTATATACAAAATAATAATTATATCCTAAATGCGATAAGATTACACATCATATTTCATTTTTTTTGTTTTTTTTTTATTTTATTTTATTTTTTGTTATTCACGAGACTTCTCTTTTTTTTTCTTTTCTAGTCACGTGTCACGTGAAGATTTAATTAACAAACACTCTTGACGACTAATATCGAACTTTTCTAATGTTTACAAAAAAAAAAAAAATACGACGATAATTCGTCGATTTCGCAAAGCATAATCGTTAATAAGGCCTAAGGGTACCTTTTCGTCACGATTTTGTTTTCGTAATCTAACACGACGGCATTTAATTGCTATGATTCATCACACACGAACAATTAGAATTTCTAATATCTTGAATTTAATGACTGATGTGATATTTAATCGTTAACGCGAGAATTATCGTCTAAGAATAAACGGAATATTATATCCACAGAAGTTTTCCGTTATTTATATTAAACACTTAAATATAAAAATAAACAATAATAATACTACTACTAATAATAATAATAATTCATATGGGGTATTATAATACAATTAAATCGTTGGACAGTGATAATTATTAAAAAAAAATTTATTATAGAAAAAGTGGAAGAAGTTTAAGCATCTATTTTTTTTTTTTTTTTAATTTAATTAATTATAATAACAATTTTAATAAATAATTGTAATTTTTGTACTTGTAAATTATTATCGTATTCCAACGATCCAACATTCTATATATATAACAAATTATATATTATATTATATATATATATAATTTTTGTTAATTCCATTTAGAAAAATAATAAAATAAATTCAAATTAATTAAAAAAATTTTTATTGTTAAAAAAAAATAATAATTAAAATTAAAATTATTAAATTTATTTTAAATTATTAATTTATTGTAATTAAAATTATTACAAAATTGTATTATGAAAAAAAAAAATAATTACAATTACAATAATTTATTTCTAACCAACGATCTCGATTTCAATTCGGTCATAGGAAATTGAGAACTATAAAATAAAAGAAATATTTAAATAAAAGGATCGTACCTTACAAATATTATTAATAATAATAATAATTATTATTATAATAATAATAATAATAAAAAGAATAAAAATTATTTAACAGAGACGAGGATTAGTTTAAATACACGGATGTGAGAGATTGGAATATTCATTCGGGAGATTTCGCGTTCGTTGGTCGTATGACCTCGCGTTTCGAGAGACATCGACTCTTATTCTAAAACAATTGTGTCTATTTTAGGAGCAACTGATATCCAATAGGATATCAAGAAACCCATCACACCGTTACCACAATTTTGTCGGTGGTTGTGACTGACAACGACGACAACGACAACGACAACGAGAGATGAGGGATGAGGATGAGAATTCTCAGTCGTACAACTCACCCTCCCATCCCCTTTAGCCATTTCGAGATAACTCACGAAATTATTCTATTCGTCCTATCGATTTCTATATATCGAAATCAATCGATTCTAATTCGATTTGATAGAGACGTGAACAAAAAAAAAACACCTTTCACGTTATCGAATGATAAATGTTTCTCACAAATGTTACAATAATTCACACGAACTTATTTATTCTAATTTGTTAAAGTTCAATTAAGGACCCAAAAAAGGATTAAATTGCAAATATAATAAATTCATCTATTTTAACACTATGCCGTCCTATATATATATATAATATAATTATATCTATAATTTTCGAATGGCACCAAAGTGGAGCCACCGGACGTCATAGTTTTAATATATTTCTCAAAAAAAAAAAAAACGAGAAACTTCAAGGATTTGTCTATTGATAAGAATTTGAATAATGTTAGGTTTGAAAAATGGATGGAATACTAATTAAGGTATTAAATAGGTGAGTTTTAAGGACGAGAAATTGTGAGATATGTCCTTTTGAATTTAGAAAGGTTTATATCGAGATCAAAGCACCGATCGATATGCTAGAAAATAGGAGTTCACAAGTGATGTTCTCCAGTTTGCACGGACACCTCGGAACCTGTGATCATGGGACCGGATATGATGTGAGCTGATGGTAATACGAGAGGATTCGGCATTGCGATTGACGGTCTGAGCCTTTCATTTAACGCTAACATCACTTGGAAATGTAAATCTTGAATGGTTGCTAATAAATTGAGATTTGTGTCTATTAAACCAGCTGCAGGTGAAAATCTTTCACCTTCAACGTTATCTGTGTCAATTTCCATTGCAGTAATTTTCTGTTGTTGCTGTTGTTGCTGTTGTTGTTGTTGTTGTTGTTCTTCCTCAGCTTCCTTTAATGCTTTATTCTTCTCAGCCATCCTTTGCTGATGTTTTAAGTACGAGGTAGTAATGGGAAGACTGTAGTCGATGGGCGTGTTCTTGGGATCCAATCCCGGGCTCCAAGGCCTTGGCAACGGTTGACTCGGCTGCGGAGATGGAGTCCGACCCTCCGGCAGCATCCTCTTCCTTTTAGACGAAGCCGAACTCCTTGAACTCGCCCGATCAGATTCTGGAGTTCTTCGAGATTCTGGTAGAATTTCCGTACTCGATAAGAAACCACCATTATTCGTTGGTTCTTTTTTCAATAAATTGGTTATACTCAATGGATTATATTTCTCATCTTTGTCTTTATCATTTTTCGTCTCCGTAACATTATTTGCAATGACGACAACGTTATTGTTATTATTATTTTTCAAATGTTTTTGATGTCTATAATTGTAAAGATTTTTACTTTCCGTGGTATCTCTCGATTTGTTATTATTATTAACATTGTTACTTTGTGACGTTGATAAACCAGTGGTAGTAGTAGTAGTGGTAGTAGTAGGACTCAATCTTGTTGACGTTGACGACGTTGTCGTAGTCGTTGATCCTGACGACGTAGTAGACGTTATCGTTGACGAAAGTGCAACTTGATGTGTTGACTGATTGGATAGATTGGTAGGACTGGGTGTTCTTGGTCGTCTTTGACATTCGGTACATCCTAAAAGAAATCGCGTAACTGCTTCTCTTGGTAGAAAGGCGTAAGTCTCTGTGATCTGTAACAAATACCAACAGAAAAAATTTTACAATTGAATGAACATTCATTTTCATGAATAATGTAAAAATGTTAATAGCAAATGTTTCATTATAAATATTGGGCTGGCAACTAATCATAAGTGATTGCGAATTTTGTCGATAAATGGCTTTTTAAACTCAGCAATGATTTAGTTGCCAACCCATTAAAAAAAGTTATACAAAACAATCCTTAACCTGTTAACCGGGAAATTCCCTTTTTAATTACATATTATTTAATAAATACTTTTATTATTTATTATTATTTATGCTTAAAATAAATGAAAAAGCTATGAAATATATATTTTTGTCATTTATTTATATATAAAGTACAAAGATTTGTACCTTTAGTTAAGCAATACGTTTGACGTATATATACGTTACACCCTAATGTAGTTAAATAATGAAGAAAAAAATATGTCAAGTGATTGTTCTGTATCACATTAGATAGAAACGTGAAATATCGTGACATATTTCGGTGAACTCGTTCGTTCATTGTTTTACTCGAAAAGCGTTGTGCACCCCTTTAGCCCCTGTCCCTTGTCCCCTTTACCTGGGGAAAATTCATGAGTAGTAACGGTACTTTGATGTCTTCGCGAGAAGGTATTCAACCGGAGGGATGTTCTCTGGCTCTTAATAGGAAACGTTTCTCTCTGGATGGAAGACGGGAAGAGGGCGGCATAACTTAATCAACGATAGGAGTTTCGTTGCTGGGTAAAGTAAAGCTTCGTCTCGTACAAACGTACAACGTAACTATGTATAAGTGTATGTATGTGTACTATGCATACTGGTAAACACGTATGACTGTGTTATATGTATGAATGTGGTGAAGTAATTCGATAAGATTTACTCGAAGCTCTCGGCTGCCAAGAACGGGATGAAGAGAGGAGAGAACTCAGTTAAGAAACTGAGATAATGGCTTTTGGATCAACATGACACAGTGGTAAACTTACGGCGAGTTTACCACGACGGGCTTTACTCGTATTCTCTCTCTCTCTCTTCTCTCTCTTTCTCTTTCTCTTTCTCTTTCCTAAGTTTGATAAAAAATACGTAAGCTCCGATACCGTAGAAAGTAGCCCACCGAGGTTAATAATTTATTGTTAGTTACATGTACAAACCTTGTCAATTTTTTTTTAATTTTTATTCATTAGTTTATTATTATTACAACCTATTTTTATAAACTAAAGAAATAGAAAGAGAGAGAGAGATTAATTAACAATACAATCGATTGATGATGCATTTGAGTTTTGATTTTGTTCACGTCACGAAAGGAATGAACAAAATTTGATTTTATTATTAAGAATTTTTCACTTCAAAAATTTCAATGAGTCTACGAAAAAATGCAGTCAATGATAGAGGACTCGTGCATTTTCAAAAAAAAAACGAAGAAATTCGTCAATGATCAATAAACATTGACTGAACTTATCGTAGACTCGTGCATTGACTGAATTTTGGGTCTTACATCGTAGGACTCGTAAAAAGTTGAACGAAATTTGTTTTCTACATTCGTGCCATTGACTGAACTTTTCGTAGAGTCGTGTGCATTGATTGAATTTTTTCATAGACTCGTAAATTGAAATAAGAGACAAATGCATACTGTCATCTATCTCATTCTCTTTTAGGCTAAATCCTATAGATGTATATACGTTTGTCTCTTTTTCTCTTTTTAGTAAACCGTAGTCGTTTCATCGTTTCGTTTCCGTTACCATGGGTTTTCGTTCACTTTTTTCAAATCAAACATCAAATCATCGTAACGAAATCTTACTAGACCCCAACCCTTTCAGCTAGTTACATTTCCATTTTCCATTACTTGGTAGAAATGAACGAACGAATGAACGAAGGAACGTGTCGCGAAACGTTTAGTAAGTTATAGTTTGACACTAAATGAGAGGGTAGAGGAGGGGGTAGTTTCCCTGGTCGATGATTCGTGCTCTCGTAGTAAACGACTTAAATGTAAAATAGTATCACGCGGTGACGATGAAGGTAGTGTTTGTTTCTACGTGTAACGATATACATATACATATATATATATAGATATATACATTTAGAAATATATATAGTAAATGTAAAGGAACGTGTATATATGTATAGGAGATGTGTACGAGTAAGCAGGCAATGCAACAAGTGTCCTGAGGTTTTGAATCACAAGCAGATCGCGGCGAGTGAGAGAACCGCGCGGAAAGCTGCTGGGTTGTGTGTGAGATAGAGAGAAAGATAGAAAGATAGATAGATATAGATATAGATAGAGTAGTAGTAGTAGTAGTAGTGGGAGGGAAGCTTGACGATTGGAGAGTCTCTGAGTGGAACGAAGAGAAATAGAGTGAGGTCTCCCTCCTACCAACCGTGTTTCGTGTCCAACGGAAAGAGACGAAAACCCGAAACAAGAGAGAGTAAGATATATATATATATATATATTTGAGAGAGAGAGAGAGAGAGAGAGAATAGATATGATACCCTAGAGAGAGGTTTCCGCGAATGTACGCCGGAACATGTGAGATGACGTGTGGTATCGAGTGTTCGACGCTTGAATGCCTCGATTCCTTCCCCCCAGAGAACGGTAAATATCGTGTGTCACGCACAACACACACACACACACAAACGTATACACATATTATACATACTACTATAGTTAAGAGTTCTGCTAGCCATCTCCATACGAAAGATCGAAACCAAACGGGGATCCCTCTACTATATTATTCTCTTCAGGGTTTTCTATATAGATGGACGATGCGGTGTTGAGGTTCTTTGAACCGTTCATTGTAAGTTAAGAAGTCCATTTAAAAATGGCGGATCTTCTACAGATCATCTGTATTTTACCCGCTATGTCAGATATGTGTGCATGTGTACATATGAAAGAGAGTGAGACAGACGTTCTTTTTAGGATTTGTTCAATCATTTTTTGATCAATCTTTCAATATTTTTTTATTAAATTTTATTTAACATGTTGAGCGTCAGGATTGTGTCAGGGTTACATCAGAAGTTCTCCTGACGAAACAAAACAAAGGGTTGTGTCAGGGTTGCGTCAGCCATCGGTGGCTGACACTAGACTTTACGTTTAGGTCGCGTCCGTCACAAGTGACTGACACGTTCAACTGTTTTTTCAATACTAAGTAACACCTGTAGCCTGACGAGAATTTTCCTAAAAATTTGCAAATGGCGCTCAACGTGTTAAACAATTATTTGATATTATTTATATATTTAAATCTTGATGTATGAATATTAAATGTTTATCAGAAAGATTATAGAAAAGTAATAGATGAGAAAGTGATTTTTAGTTGAAGTTGATTAAACAGTAATTATGAAAATTAATGAAGTTTTCGTGATACCTGTGTATGTATATATGTATATACTAAAGTATATAATACGTAAGTACATGCTACTAGTATAATCAAGTACGTGTCTCCTCTGTGTATGTGAGTGTCTTCCATCGAAGATAACTGAATCGTTAATGAACCACTAATGAAGCAATTTTAAGTGCCACTCACCGTCCGATAGGTGCGCTTTTGACCGGCATGCTTCCCAGGACGACCCTCAAGGTCAACGTGGACGGCATGAATAATATCGAAGAAATTCTCCACTATGGCGACCTTTTTGTAAATTCTTCCTGGTGGAACCGTACCCTCTGCACCGTTCAATGCCTGAAATTCAAACAATCGAATTTTTATTTATAATTATTGTTATTGCAATGTATGATTATTAATGCAAGAAAATTTGCTTCTATTTTATTTTATTAAATTATATTAATATTCTTAAGATAGAATTAATTATGCGTGTAACATAAAAAAATGATAATTTATTTCATGTTTAAAAATATCGATGATTTTTTAACCCCCAAAGTGGAACAAAAACAGTATCGCCACCTAGTAGTACAACTTGATAACTGTTCATACGTCAGTGAAAATAGTAGAAAACTTCCTGACCGGTTCGACATTACCTTCTGAGTTTTATCATCTCTACCGTAGATGGCAACACAGATTTCTGTTTCAAAATAAATGAGAATCATTAAATAATAAAAAAAAAAACTATGCTTGTAATTTAATTCGAACAAAATTCCGTTTAATCTTTAAAAGAAATTCTATCTAAGAAAAAGGAAACAGATATCTGTATTATTTCGAATGTTATCCAGTGAATCTTACTTGTACAGTTAGATGGCAGCACTAGAGTCGTTTCAAGAAATTCGTTATAATAACGGAATTTTTTCAAAATGTTCCACGCGAAGTGCATCAACAGAATGACATAGATTATCACAAATGCCATACTTAAATGACTCTAATGTAATTTAATGTTATGAAGAAAGATAAAAAACAGTTCGAACTATGCGGATTTGTACGATGACGAAGAAAAATTCATCGGAAAAAGATTTCATTCGATTGCAACGACGACGACGACGAAGACGAAGACGTCAACAACGGACGAGGACAGAATACGCGTTTAAAAAAAAAACATTGTATAAAATATTTACTTAGAGAAACTTCAACTATTACGGAAGTATTTGTTTTTTTTTTTTCTACAATATTCTTTCGTAATAACGTGACTACAAATAATTCGCAGAATTACGATTTCCAAGTAGAAATAAAATGGCGAAAATTCGAAGAAGTAGCGAACCACAGCAGACGGTTCTCTCTCAATTCTCGGACAAACTTGGCGACCTTAAGGAGTTCATCCCGCATGCGCGACATTATTGTATTTGCCTGAACACCTGTTGAAGGATAAAGTTGAACTTGTGGAGCTTACGGTTCGACTAAGTGGTTGCGGTCAGGCAAATAACAATACACTGATATCCATCCGAGTGGTATTTCAAGCTTGCCTTTCCTTTACCAATTGATTCGACAAATCACAGACCATAATTTCTTATCGTATGATAATCTTTTTAAAGATTCAGATGATTTGATGAAAAAGTGTCTATCAAGTTGATCTAGAACCTTAAAAATCATCATTTATCCTAAACACTGAACTTAAATCCCACTTGACCAATCATTAGTCACCTACCAAATAAAAAAGCAACGTCATAGAAAAAAAATATTATAAATCGATTAATCTCTTTAGGTCGAAATAAAAAAAAAATGTTAACATAAGTGAAAAAAAAGAAACAGAGAAATCGAACCCTCTTTAAATCTATCGTACATTCATACATATATATACGTGAGAAAGCTTGTATATGTAGACTTAACGAGTCAACTGAGTATACCGTTCGATAGTCGAAACACATATACACTTACACTTACTACACAGCAGATAAACAGAACAGAGAGAGAGAATATGCGTGTGCAAGTTACACGGAAGGCGGATTCTTTGAGGCAGCGCCGCTTAATGATAGCTTGCTGCTACGTACGTACACAACGTTATATATACATACGTACTATTTTCCACCATGTGGTATACACATATATATATATATATATACATCTATACATCGTACGTAAGCCCATACATGCATAGTACATACATACACAAGGATGGATGGATAGGAGTGTACGGGAGCAGCAGAAACCGGGGTGCGTTTCACGGTAGGATACACAGAAGCGTGAGTTCGGTATCCTGTCGCCTGTCGGCCACCCGTGTCACGCAGTACGTGTAATGGGCTATGACGAGGAGAACCTAGCGTACGGAGAATCCAAAAGCATGGACTAGAGGGAGTGAAGGAACAGAGAGAGAGAGAGAGGAGGGACCACCACTACTACCATCACCCCATCATACCCACCGTTTTCCCTTCTCTTCTCTTCCCTTCCCTATTTCTCTCTGTCTCTTTATATCCTCCTCCTCCCCCTCTCTTCCACTCTATCGGCGCACCTCGCTATCGAGGTCAAAAGCGTTTCACACTAAATGCGATACCTTACGATCGTCGACCGGAAGTAAATCGGAACGTTAATCCCAAGCGTTTTCATCGATTTTCTAACTTCCGTTCATCATTAGAGTCTTGCAAGATGGTTGTTCTGCCGCTGCTAATGATCTTTTATTTTTAATTACATGATTTACTAACTAATCAAATCTCAAATCTTTTCATCTATTTTATGAAATGAAATAGATAAGAACAAAAATTAAATCAAACTTTAACAATCCTAACCATCGTTAGGAATATTTAATTAGTTATATTGGTAATATCAAAATTTCATCGTCAAAGTTTTAAGATAAGATTCTACAATAGTTAAAGATTACTATGTTTAATCGAACGACACTAAACCATCAAAATCTTTCTATTTAACATGGGACATCTTATTTTTTCTTTTTCATCTTCTTTTATAGATTCCATTTTACTTCTAACAACAACAACAACAACAACCGATCCCAAATATCGAGACCCAAATGCCTGCCGAGAATAAAGGAACGGGTACATTATTCGAGAATCCCTTTTCGAGAGCTTGCCGACAAATGGACCACGGAATTCCGTATGGAACTCACACGTTCTCCGTCGTTGAAATATATATCTCTCTCTTTCTTTTTCACTCTCTCTCTCTCTTCGAATCTTTCTCTTTTCCTCAACCGCATATTTTGCCATCCGTCTTCGACTCGTAGATATTTGAAAACCGGTAGCCCTCTCTTTCTCTTTCTCATTCTTATACACACACACATACATATACATAGGATAAGCACACATATATTTATAGTTACACACAGATTATACACGCACACACAGATATATGGTTGGTCGCGCTTTAACTAGCACCTTCGTTTCCCGGCACGTTCGAAGTTGTTACGAACCGTGGTGGCTTCCTCAAGGCACCGTTGCCTTTGGTTCCTTCTCTCTCTCACTCTCACACACTCTCTTACACTCTCTCTCTCTCTCTCTCTCTCTCTCTTTCTCTCACACTCTTTGCTTTCATCCTTGCGAGGTGTCGAGGATCGATGGGCTAGAAAGTCGCGTTTTGCCGCGAATAAAATCGCATTGCGGAAAGAAGATGAGTGTGCCGGTTCTCTTTTTAAAGAGTTGCCTGGGTTCTTAGAGTACAACACCACTGTAAAACCTTTCTTATTCTTATTCCAACTGGTTCGCCATGGTTTGGCGTCGTTTTCCGCGATCCACACAGCTTTCTATCCAATCCACTTGAGTAAATTTCGAGATCGCTATCGTATTTCTTTTCTTTCTTTGCTCTATCTCTATCAATTTCAATCCAAATCCCCCTATCTTTATCTATCCCCACTCCTAAATCTAACCACATATATATATATATATATATATATATATATATACATCTTTATCAATAGTCTTCCTTTTTTATCAACAACAAAATCAACGACCCAATGGGAACTATGTGGGTGTGTAAAAAAAAACAAAATACGAAATAATTCTACTTAGAAAAGAAAAATGCATCTGATTGTACTTTATATAGGTTAGTTTTATTATATATATATATTATTATTATTATTATTATTATTATTATTATTATTATTAATTGGCATTAGGAACTCAAAAGTTCATTGCCACAAATACCAAATCCCGCCAGTTATATGCATATATATTTTTTTTTATTTTAGGGTTTTTAACTTTATAGGTTAACTAACTTTGTAGGTTAGGTGATTATAGAATTGTTATAACCAATAAAATTACACACCTAAAAGGTTTGACGATGATTATTGTAATCGAACTAATTCTTTCACTCTCAGATACACACACTAACACATTCTATTATTCTAGTACCAACTTATTGAACCAAAGAACGGAAGTTGAGTTTTCTATTTATACGATCACCACAAACGTCATCATCATAATCATCGTCATCTAGTTGCCTTACGCAGTTTCGTTTGAAGTGGAAATAAAAACGCATATTTTCGTTCTATAGTAGACATAAATTCCTCAACGGATAAAGAATAAAAGAAAGAGAGAGAGATAGAGTAGTTGTGTTGAGGAGGAGGAAGGAGGTAACTCTGAGAAAAATGGGACGCCAAGTATGCGACGTAACGTAACCCGGATATGGCGGGTATTTTAAAAAGGCCGTGTGGAACAGCACGAGTTTGCATTTTAAACGAATGCCGATGACGACAACGACGACGCTTAACGCTGACGCCGACTCTATCCGACGCCAACGATACTCCAGTGCTGCTACTGCTGGTGCTGGTGCTTCTGCTTTTGCTTTTGCTTTTGCTTTTGCTGCTGCAGTGGGAGAGAAAAAACAACAAAACGTGGGCAGGCAAACGCGCTGGCGAATCGGATTAAAAAAATTCACGAGGGAATCGACGTTTCATGGAGCTGCTGCTGCTGCTGTTGCCGGTGAACGTGCGCGTGGGAGTTACTCTTCTCTACCCTTTCTTTCTTTCTCTCTCTCGTAATATATATTTCTATATATATATATATATATAAATATATATAGGTATATGTATATACTGGGTGAACCTAGCCAACTTTCACACTTTTTCCACGTTTTTCAGTTAAAATGCAAATGTTGATATCTCTTCTACTTCTTCTTCTTCATCTTCTTCATCATCTATTTCTCTATCATTCGTACATTTTTCATCCAACGATTCGTGACTCGACTCAAAAAAAAAATGTAGATTTTTTGTACAAAGTTGAAAGAAAAAAAGAACCTTTTTATTAGAAAGAGAGTAAATAAGTAAGTAAGTAAGTGAATGAGTAACAAGGATGCCTGCCTGCCTGCCTGCCTGCCTGCCTGCCAGCCGATAAACTAGTTCGAAAGCTATCAGA